GATTGTTCCACAACTTTCATGATGCTTTCCAGGAAGTGGAAAGTCTTCCCTGGTATTGGCTACTTTAGAAGAGATGGCTTGGGAATACTGAGACACGTTTGACACATAAATTATCAGCCCACACCAGCATAAATACCCACTGCAAGCCATTGATATACACCAAAGATTTGCCTGGTGTAATCCCCATACCCCAAACAAAGGGGTATTCTTGGGGCATGGAGAGCCCAACATATCTCAGGTGTCAGTGAAGCTCAGATGCTGACAGGAGGAGAAGAAGCAGGCATAGGGAGAGAACAGTTAGCAGTGGAAAGCAGAGAGGAGGGGGAGAGCAGCTGTAACCTGAGCTGGACCAGGGCCAGAGTGACAGGCAGCTGTGTGAGAGCTCCAATAGTGAGCCAGATGTTGGAATGCAGGAAACATTCTCTCCCAAATCTCATAGGATCTCAAAAGTGGCCGAGGTGCGCGAAAGATACCTGAAGAGAAGGTGGGGCCTTCCGTGCTGGGGAAGGGGGAAGAGCTCAGTCCGGGCAACTCCATCTTCTGGGGAGGATGATGAGTAGAGGAGCTCCGTCCTAGTTTGTTGTTTTAGCAATAAATCTGAAATAATTAACAGCCAGAGTCTTCTTGCGTTTTTGGGACTGCAATCTCTGTGGCACAACAGAAGGAACTAAACATGGGAAAGCAGTGCTGGAGGCAAGTGGGAATATCAACAAAGCTGTATTTTGGGTCTTCCTTTGAATAAACAAACAAAGAAGAGGGATGTATAAGAAAAAATATTGCTTAACGTGACCCAATCTATTTTGAGTTGAAGACCCTACCTCAGGGGGTTCTAAACTTGTTCTTTCTGATGAACACTTTTAAAAATAGCCATTGGCTCTGTTTGCTAACACCAGAACATGTGACCACTTTCCTCAATGATTTCTGAGAGACAGGGACATTTGTCCTTGAGGAGAAGGTGCATATTTTCTTGTGCATCTTGCCAGGGGTATGGGGGTCTTCTCTTTGTTTCTTGAAGTGGTGACTTCCTGGTCCTTTCAGCTTCATTTGCAGAACATTCAGAATGCATCTTCTCAGCTACTGAACCACATAAACTGTAGGAGATTCATTGCATCTTTAGTTGACATTTGTTTCTGGATGCAGTTCCAACCAAGTGTGTTAAATTTAAACTATTCAACCCTGCATGGTCTGTCATCAGTCTTCTTTAGTGATCATTTTGGGTGACAGGCTCAAGTTCCCATCCTCAGGAAAGTGATATATTGCTCTTCAGATCCCAAGAATTCATTGCCATCCTGGTTTGTTGGCCTTCAAGAAATAGAGTGAGAGCTAACATTTTAGGATGTTTCCTTGGGCGTATAAGGGTCAGATCTCTGCAATTTTAATCTCACTGTTTTTGTTTTATGTTAATTACTTATTACATACCTTATTATTTGCATATGCCCTAGAGGCCTTTGTGCCTTTGTTGCATTTTAGATATATAAAACTAATAAAGAACAAATGTACAGTTTCAGTGGATTCTGGCATGATTCTAGTTGGATGGGAAAAGCTGGTATGTAATAAATTAATTTCACTGTTCATATTAAGCAAAGTCTTGTGGTCAACAGAAAGGATAATCAAAACGGATCTGTTGAGCCACAACTGAGCGTGCCTGAATAGAAATAATGAGAAAATCCTTTGCAAGTTATACAGCTTTGTTCAAATCAGTGGAACGCCTTGCTTCCCCATTGTTTCAGAGGCTTCGCTCTAAAACATTTACCCATCTGGGAATCAAGAGATTCCATGTGATATTGTGGTTAGATTCACATCTCCACTTGAGTGACTTTGAGCCCATCACCATCTCTCAGCCTAACCTTCCTCATATGGTTGTTGTGAGAATAAAATGGGGAGCAGCCTCATTTGAGCACCAGCCCTGACTGCAAGGAATGCTGCAATATTGTTTTCTGTGTCTGGTATTGGTGTTGAGGTGGAAATCAATGAGCTTGTTCAAAGATACAGATAAAAAAGCAGACAGATAAAGGCATGTGAGTAAAAATACTCCGCTATTTTGCAGTGGCACCTGTTTCTGATGTTGGCTTTGGCGATATATACACACTTATGATCTGCTTGTTTAATGAAGTTTTGAAAAAATGTTGACACTAGTTTGTACTGACAGTCCAAATTATTGACTTTATGCAACTATTTTCATTTCCATTCAACTCATTACAAATACTTCAGATTCAGCTACCCACACGGCAAAGGAAAGAACAAGGTCTTTTTTTAAAAAAATGATATTTATTACTTTTTCAAAATTTCCAACACAGCATTACAAACACAGAGAAAAAGAAAAAGGAAAAAAGAAAAGAAAAAAGAAAAAGCAATACGAATAACAAATCAAGCAAAAACAAACAAAAACAATTTAAAAACACCTCAAACATTTTCAATATCTTATATTTCATTCACTTATTTCCAGCAACTTCCTCACACCTCCCATTTTGTATTCCACTTCTATTATTTGTTTCAGCAATTCCTTTCCATCTTACTCTGTTTTCTGTTCTATAATTATCTTAACACATTCTTGCCATACTTTTCCTTTAATTATCTATTAATCTATTTATACTAAATTCCTTATGACATTTCTCCTAAAGCCATGTAATTTCATTCCAACATTTTTCTAACATTCCTTAATTTTACAATATTTCTATAAATAGTCTTTAAACTTTTTCCAATCTTCTTCCACCGACTCTTCACCCTGGTCTCGGATCTTGCCAGTCATTTCCGCTAATTCCCTATAGTCCATCAACTTCGTCTGCCATTGTCCAGCACTTCAGTGTTTTCAAGAAACAACCATTCTCTCAACCAGCAAAAGGCAGATGGTTCACAATGAGGTTTAAAGGTCTGGCAGGGCAGGTCCACCTCCTTCTTTAGCATCCATCAATATCTTAAGCTTAACTCAAGGCTTCCTGCCCTGCCAAACAACTCTAGGAGCATCCCTCTGCCACCTCCTGAGACCCTCCATCCCATCCAGAGCTTGCAATGTTTGAAGCAACAGCAACATCCCCAGCAACACAGCAGCCCCCATCCCCACCACAACGACTCGGCCCAACAGTAACAACTTCTGCTTTGTCCATATTTCCAAATTCCCCTTCTCTTCAATCCAACATCCTTCACTGTTGTCTTTAAGCAGATTCACATTTTTGGCGGTCATACTAACCCCCAAATGCCTCTCTTTCTCAACCAATATTAGTCCTGTCGCCTCCTGAAGCTCTGTCAGGCTTTCCTTCTCCAACTCAAACAGGGCTCTGATCCCCAAATCCATCCGCTCTTCTTTAAGTTCAATCATAACGAATGTCAGCTTATGTTCATCAAGTTGTCTTTGTATGGATGGGACTCTCCTCTCCAATTGTACCACCTTAAGTTCAGCAGCAAGGGTTTTTTCCCTGACTTCATCTGCAGTTTGCCGTATCAGAGTAGATTCCTGTATCAGTTTCTGGGTGGTTTCTGAATTGGTATTCACCTTTTGTCCCAACTTATTCAAACTTTCTACAATTAAATCAGTCTCAATATTTGCAACATCCAATTTCACATTCCTCGCATCTGTTTTCTTATGGAGTTGTTCCAGCGAATCATTTATTTTCAATAATGCAGCCACTAAGGCCTCCTCTGTCGACATCCCATCTGTTTTTTCCCTTCCGTTTGCCATAACACTTTAGAGATTCAAGGTCAATTCCAAAGTCTCACACTTTTCTTATCTTGCAGCTGGAAATTCCCCTAGCCCAGCTCCTATAAAGTAACCAATTTCAAAAGCTTCCACTAGGGGAAAACAAGTTATATTTGTATCGGTCAATATGTCCTCTTTTAAACACAGTTTCAATAATCCGAAGTTAGTTTCAATTTTCAGTTACTTTCCTCCTTTTTTAAAAACAGCCAGAAACAGTAGAAACAATGTATTTCTCTTATTTAGCTAGCTGTCAATGAACGTTCTAAGCACTGTCAATGAACATTCCAAAAAAAAGAAAAAGAAACATCAGTCTTACTAGCAGCCCGTTTCCAGGGTCAGAGCGGCAGTGTTTTAAGCCTCTTCGCGCTCTCCTGCAGGCATACTCAATCCAGAACTTCCCCCTCTCTTCTCCTGCCTCCTAGAGGGGGTTTAATGTTCTTTACTGTTGGAAATCCCCTTCATGGATCACTGCCTTGCCGTGGCGAAGGGGCTTGAAGAACTCAGAGAAGCTATGAACTATGCCGAGCAGGGCACCCAAGATGAACAGGTCATAGTGGAGAGTTTTGACCAAACGTGATCCACCTGGAGTAGGAACCAGCAAGCCACTCCAGTATCCCTGCCAAGAAAACTCCATGGACAAAGACAACAGGCATATAAAAGTTATGACGCTGGAAGATGAGCCCCTCAGGTCGGAAGGTGTCCAACATGCTACTGGGGAAGAGCGGAGGACAAGTACAAGTAGATCCAGAGCTGATGAAGCGGCTGGGCCAAAGCCGAAAGGACGCTCAGTTGCGGATATGCATGGAAGCGAAAGGAAAGTCCAATGCTGTAAAGAAAAATATTGCATAGGAACCTGGAATGTAAGAACCATGAACCTGGGTAAGTTGGATGTGGTCAAAAATGAGGTGGCAAGAATAAATATTGACATCCTGGGCATCAGTGAGCTAAAATGGACGGGAATGGGCGAATTCAGTTTGGATGACTATCATATCTACTACTGTGGGCAAGAAATCCGTAAAAGAAATGGAGTGGCCCTCATAGTCAACAAAAGAGTGGCGAAAGCTGTACTGGGATGCAATCTCAAAAATGATAGAATGATCTCGATACGAATCCAAGGCAGACCTTTTAACATCACAGTAATCCAAGTTTATGCACCAACTACTGGTGCTGAAGAAACTGAAATTGACCAATTCTATGAAGACTTACAAGACCTTATAGAAGTGACACCAAAGAAGGATGTTCTTCTCATTATAGGGGATTGGAATGCTAAAGTAGGGAATCAAGAGATAAAAGGAACAACTGGCAAGTTTGGCCTTGGAGATCAAAATGAAGCAGGGCAAAGGCTAATAGAGTTCTGTCAAGAGAACAAGCTGGTCATCACAAACACGCTTTTCCAACAACACAAGAGACGACTCTACACATGGACATCACCAGATGGGCAACATCGAAACCAGATTGATTATATTCTCTGCAGCCAAAGATGGAGAAGCTCTATACAGTCAGCAAAAACAAGACCTGGAGCTGACTGTGGCTCAGATCATCAGCTTCTTATAGCAAAATTCAAGCTTAAACTGAAGAAAGTAGGAAAAACCACTGGGCCGGTAAGATACAATCTAAATCAAATCCCTTATGAATACACAGTGGAAGTGAAGAACAGGTTTAAGGATTTAGATTTGCTGGACAGAGTGCCTGAAGAACTATGGGTGGAGGCTCGCAACATTATACAGGAGGCAGCAACTAAAACCATCCCAATGGAAAAGAAATGCAAGAAAGCAAAGTGGCTGTCCAACGAGGCCTTACAAATAGCGGGGGAGAGAAGGCAAGCAAAATGCAAGGGAGATAGTGAAAGATACAGGAAATTGAATGCAGATTTCCAAAGAATAGCAAGGAGAGACAAGAAGGCCTTCTTAAACGAGCAATGCAAAGAAACAGAGGAAAACAACAGAATGGGAAGAACCAGAGATCTGTTCAAGAAAATCGGAAATATGAAAGGAACATTTCGTACAAAGATTACCATAATAAAGGACAAAAGTGGTAAAGACCTAACTGAAGCAGAAGACATCAAGAAGAGGTGGCAAGAATACACAGAGGAATTATACCAGAAAGATATGGATGTCTCGTAAACCCCAGGTAGTGGGGTTGCTGACCTTGAGCCAGACATCCTGGAGAGTGAAGTCAAATGGGCCTTAGAAAGCACTGCAAATAACAAGGCCAGTGGAAGTGATGGTATTCCAGCGGAACTATTTAAAATTTTAAAAGATGATGCTGTTAAGGTGCTACACTCAATATGCCAGCAAGTTTGGAAAACTCAGCAGTGGCCAGAGGATTGGAGAAGATCAGTCTACATCCCAATCCCAAAGAAAGGCAGTGCCAAAGAATGCTCCAACTACCGCACAATTGCACTCATTTCACATGCTAGCAAGGTTATGCTTAAAATTCTACAAGGAAGGCTCAAGCAGTATGTGGACCGAGAACTCCCAGAAGTGCAAGCTGGATTTAGAAGAGGCAGAGGAACCAGAGACCAAATTGCAAACATGCGCTGGATTATGGAGAAAGCTAGAGAGTTCCAGAAAGACATCTACTTCTGCTTCATTGACTATGCAAAAGCCTTTGACTGTGTCGACCACAGCAAACTATGGCAAGTTCTTAAAGAAATGGGAGTGCCTGATCACCTCATCTGTCTCCTGAGAAATCTCTATGTGGGACAAGAAGCTACAGTTAGAACTGGATATGGAACAACTGATTGGTTCCAAATTGGGAAAGGAGTACGGCAAGGCTGTATATTGTCTCCCTGCTTATTTAACTTATATGCACAATTCATCATGCGAAAGGCTGGGCTGGATGAATCAAAAGCCGGAATTAAGATTGCTGGAAGAAATATCAACAACCTCAGATATGCAGATGACACAACCTTGATGGCAGAAAGTGAAGAGGAATTAAAGAAACTTTTAATGAGGGTGAAAGAGCAGAGCGCAAAATATGGTCTGAAGCTCAACATCAAAAAACGAAGATCATGGCCACTGGGCCCATCACCTCCTGGCAAATAGAAGGGGAAGAAATGGAGGCAGTGAGAGATTTTACTTTCTTGGGCTCCTTGATCACTGCAGATGGTGACAGCAGTCACGAAATTAAAAGACGCCTGCTCCTTGGGAGAAAGGCGATGGCAAACCTAGACAACATCTTAAAAAGCAGAGACATCACCTTGCCAACAAAGGTCCGTATAGTAAAAGCCATGGTTTTCCCAGTAGTGATGTATGGAAGTGAGCGCTGGACCATAAAGAAGGCTGATCGCCGAAGAATTGATGCTTTTGAATTATGGTGCTGGAGGAGACTCTTGAGAGTCCCATGGACTGCAAGAAGATCAAACCTCTCCATTCTTAAGGAAATCAGCCCTGAGTGCTCACTGGAAGGACAGATCGTGAAGCTGAGGCTCCAATACTTTGGCCACCTCATGAGAAGAGAAGACTCCCTGGAAAAGACCCTGATGTTGGGAAAGATGGAGGGCACAAGGAGAAGGGGACGACAGAGAATGAGATGGTTGGATGGTGTTCTTGAAGCTACCAGCATGAGTTTGATCAAACTGCGGGAGGCAGTGGAGGACAGAAGTGCCTGGCGTGCTCTGGTCCATGGGGTCACGAAGAGTCGGACACGACTAAACGACTAAACAACAACAACAAACAACAACAACTGTTGGAAATTTGATCTTTTACAAAAGACCTTCCAGGACTCCAGCTTGCAACTTCATTGCCTCAGTCTATTTACAAAAAGGGAAGGCGGACTTCCTGTTTTGAACCTCCCCGTTACGATACCAAATTAAATTTTTAGAGATCCAATTCTTCCGTTTCTGCTCTACTCACGGGTAATTCCTTTAAAGTCAAATTGTCCACAGGAAAAGGTCAGCACTCTCCGGCAACAGCTATGCGGCTTCGCTCCGTGGAAGAAGCAGACGATTCGATGCACCGCGCCGCTCACCCCACGTCGCTCCGGAGCCCCAAAAACCGGGGTTCCCCGCGAGTGGGGGGGGCGCAAAAGGTGCCCGCTGAATCCCACGTTCACAGGCTTCTCCCGCCTGTGATTTTAACGGGTGTCCGCCTTCGCCGTGGCGGCCAGACCCAGATTTCCACGGAGCAGATTCCTCCCGGTCAGAGGAATTCTGCCATTGCTGGAGGCACCTCCCCGGAAGTCAGGAAAGAACAAGGTCAGTAGCATTTTAATAAACTTTTCCTGCTTCACAAATTCAGCTTCTAAGTTACAAAATAATTATTTCAGAGAGGACCACAGTCACATAATTTCACTAATATTGTGAATGCAATTGATCGATTGTGTGTTTGTGTGTGTACAAACACACAAATGTGGAAGCGATGTGTATGCTTGACACGTGCCGTTTTTCTCATATACAACCATTTCCTCATTAATAAATCATCATTATAGACACAATGGTCAATATTAATTTTTCTCCCAGAGAATTTAGTAGCGTTTTCTATTTTAAACAGAAGAATGACTTCTCTTTTTTAAAAAAGAGGGGGGGGAATACTCATTAATAATGCGTGGATATTACTAATTCATAAATGAATTTAGTACTCAGGGATTATTTAAAAGAGCCAGTGTTGTGCATTGGCAAAGAGCATGTGAATCTCGCCTCTGCCATGGACTCACTAGGTGGTCTTCACCAAAGCCCCGTCTCTGAGTCTAACCCCTTTATCTCCAAAATATGGAGGGTCTGGGTGGCAGAAGCTGTGTGGGACTTGCCAATGCTCCATGCAAAGAATAGCAGTTTTCTTGGGGTTTCTCCAGGGAGGACCACCACCACTCCACCATGCTGGGCTGATCTTATGATGGTCTCCATGCCGAATGCACCCCAACAGTGTTGGGGGCTGCTCTTTTTCATGGGGGCTGCTGCTGGATCTGTGTTAAGGAGTGAAGCTTGAAGGAGAAGCGTTTAGCATCAGTATTGTCCTCCCCTGTCATGGGGAAGCAAATTTTGCCCAGAGTGTGGTGTTTATGTGCCAAGTGGCCATGGTTTGTACTTGGTGCTTCCTAAAGTACAAAGTTTTCTTCCTTCATGGTGGTCCTTCCTCAGAGTGTGGGATGTGAAACACAGAGCAGTCAAGTACAACATTCCTAGAGTGGACATAAAAGGGGGTGTCTGGACCAGCCAGTCGGAACGTCTTGTTTCTCCTGGGCTGGGACAGACTTCCTCTGCATGTGACCAGAGGTGGGCATGGCCTCAACTGGGCAGGTAACAAAATACCTCAGCAAAGGCTGCCATCTCTCTCTGATTCCATTCATTGAAGAAGCAACATCTGCTTAGTCTGAGAGAGGACAAAGGAACTATCTCATGGGATAGATTCCAGGTGTATATGTTTTGTAAATTAAGTCTTCCTTCTGGGATCCATTTGTGAACAGAATGTGAGTAAACTCTTTTATATACTTTTATACAAGACTGTGTCATGTCTATTCTTTTCATGAGGGACTACAGGGGAAATTACCAGGTGACTTATTTTAGTGGCTTTAGCGAGCCTGAGCAAACGCATCCGCTGTGCAAGTTTAAAAAGGGGAATGTTACTCTGCTAAATTGTAGAACTTGTTAACACAAGTTGGAAAGGATATAATTAAACAATATATCCTCTCCTGCCTCCCTGAACATTCCCACACAGAGTCCATCTTCCAAGCTCAAAGTCCCCACATGAGGAGCATGTGTGACAGATAGCCGCACTGTGAGAAGCATCATGTGATCTATGGCCAGTGCAGGCAGATTTATATTCTTGCTGGTGCTGTGTATTGTCAGACTGTGTAACTCAACCAGATCTGGACAGCTCTCTTCTGCTGGTGGGGTCAGTGGATGGGGGCAAGGAGCCAATTTTGTGGGATTGAGCCCAGCTCTTTATTTCCTATAGGGCATGTCCCAAGGTACCACCCATTTGGCTGGCCTAGGCTCCACTTGGTTTTGGCTGTGGCCACCAAGCATTCTCCCTGTAAAAGGGAAAGGGAAAGGACCCCTGAACGGTTAAGGCGACTATGGGATGCGGTCGGTGTTCATCTCTACTTTCAGGCTGGGGGAGCAGACAGCTTTGCCTGCAGACAGCTTTCCAGGTTATGTGGCCAGCAGGACTAAACCGCTTCTGGTGCAACAGAATACTGTGACGGAAGTCAGAGCACATGGAAATGCCACTGCAGTACCTATTTATCTACTTGCTCTGGCATGCTTCCAGATTGTTAGGTTGGCATGAGCTGGGACAGAGCAACGGGAGCTCACCCTGTCATACAGAGTCAAACTACTGACCTTCCTCCCTGTATCCCACCCTGCCATGCCCCTGCCCCTGCCCCTGCCCCCAGTGTGCTGCCTTGTTATGGGTCAGGGGCTGCCAGGTGAATCTCTGACAGGCTTAATTCCACCCTCCAGGTTGTCAGTAAAAGATATTCATGCTGGCATGGATTTTGGGCAATCAGTATTTTGCATTAGAAATAAAATGAAGAGTTGCCAGCCTGTTGGATATTAAGCCAGCCTAAGCAGGGGGAAAGGGGTTAGGGGGCAGGACCAGAGCTGAAGCTTAGGCTGAATCCTAGGACTGGGCAACCCAGCAAACACTGAGCTGGGAAAAAAGGTAGTGTATCTCAAAACACTATATTAAAGGTTTGTTTTCCCTCTGCCACACTTGGGCTGGCTCAGCCACCAGTAAGCCTGTACCTGAACAGTTTGGATCTGGCAAAACTTTATGCCAGCTTGCTTTTCACCAGTTTCTTGGGCATGAGATTGCTCCCTGGATCTCACAGTGCTTAGCTTACAGGTGGCAACAGGAAGCTGAGAGAGAACAACCTGGAAAATGTCAAATAATTAAGGGAAATGAGGCAGGTATATCCAGCAGAAACAAGTAACACTGGAAAAATACACCAGAGACAGAAAATGGTTGTTTAAACAAAG